CCTACTCATGGAGTGAGTGTGTCTCCTGGTTCAGACCTGAGGTGTTTTGACTTCATTGGCCCAGCCAACCAGTTGCTTGTGAAGTGTAAAAAAGCGATATGATGGGTTTTTCAGGAAAATTATTGTGAATAATTTTCCAAAGCCATTCCCTGACACATGGGACATGCAGTGCTCTGTAAGATTTTAAAATGAACTGTACATCTCATGATGATGCCAATGGTGTAATTGGAATACATTGGGGAAAAAAATACCCAAACTTTTTTTCATATCCAGTCTAAAGAACGATTCTGATCCTGTTGAATGCAGTCAGGGATGTAAGAGACATTAAGGGGGAATCACTCACATGTATTAAATAATTGTGCTCGTCAGTTATTCCCAAACTACTACAGTGCTGACAGCCACTTTTTGAGCACACCCCTCTGTCAGTAACCTGGCACAGAAGTCGAAATTGATGCAAGGGTTGCATATTCAATACATGCAGGTGACCTGGTCCACACAGGGTCACCTGCATAGTCATATCGGCACTGTGTTTGCACCGCTTACAACTTCAGTACTTTCAAAGTGACCAAAATGCGCATGCGTTTTCCCTCCACCCCTCCCCCATTTCCGCCTCTACTTGGATCATTCGAGTGTTGTTGTTGCTGCTGTTGTTGTCTGTCTACATCCTTTAGAAGCAAGAGGACTGAGCACTATGCCGGAAGACTTCTTTGAAGATCTCCCGCGACAGCCCTGATCCCAAAACGCCTGTGTTCATCCCATCCTAAGCACCGAGACTTGTGTATAATAAGCTAAAGACTTATATATGGGCCAGCGTATTATTAAGTGTCTCATTATCCTAGCTGCCGTTTGTGCTCTCAAAAAAAATGCATACTTCTTACCATTGCAGTTTCGTCGATGTGTCGTGTTCCAGGTTGTATTCAATTGGACGCAGGTTTTTTTCTCGCTGAGCAAGATTATTGTTACGCTTAGCTCGCCACGATCTCATGTAAGAATGCACGTCCAAGTAAACATGTCGTTGTGGAGTTTAAACCGCGGTGCTGTCGGTCGTGATTTATTGTTTCACTTGTGAAGCGTTTGTGGTCGGTTACCCTGGAAGAACCGGTGCGTTCTGAAGTGCCGAGGTGGCGAGACGTTAACTACCTCGCCCGGTATGCAGGGTGGTCGTGGGTTCAATCCTAACCCTGACACCTGCAGTATATTTGGAGTTTGAATGTTCTCCCCGTGGTCGTGTGGATTTTTCCGGCTCCTCCGGTTTTTCTCTCCACATTTAGAAACATGCGTTTGGAGTATTTGGCTGCTATACATTTTTAGGATAAGCCACTTCATATTCTTGGTTCTTTCGGTAAAGTCACGTAGAAGGGAAACAATAAAATAATACAAATATAAAACAATAGAATTCTCACGACGTTTCGACTGCAACACAAGCAATCATCATCAGGTGTGAAAACCACAACAAGAAATTTTACACCTGATGATGATTGCTTGTGTTGCAGTCGAAACGTCGTGATAATTTTATTGTTTCATATTTTTATTATTTTATTGTTTCCCTTCAACGTGACTTTACCGAAAGAGCTAAGAATATTAATTACTGCAGTCACGAAAGCTTTAAGTAAAAATATAAGCCACTTCATTGAGCTATTATTTGTGGCCAGGTCGCTTCTGAAAAAGAGCGGCATAGCTCTGGGCTTTACCTGGTAAAATAAGAAAAAAATGTCATTTTAATTTGGTTTTAAGTGGGCAGTTGAAAAGTGTTGGTAAATGAGAGCTATACACACGCACTCACGGTTACTGCTGCCACAGTGGTGCCATGGTCAGCACACCGGACGTGCAATCCAGGTGCCGCCGGCTCGTTCTCCCGGCGCGGCAGTTGAAACAATGGTCAAGTTTATTACATCGCCCTCCCCCCACCCGTCACCTCTGTCCACCCAGCAGCATAAATGGGTACACCGCAGTTAGTCATGTTTGGCCTGGGTAAATTGTGGGTGCTCCTCCTCCTGCGAGACGCCTGATCGGTCGTGAAGAAAAGGCAAGCAATTTCAGAGCTGTACCTTTGCCTCACTGCCGTGCACGTACATATTGGCTATGTACAGTGCGAAAGAAGTTCAACGTACATATTAGCCATCGACCAAACGCCTGCAATGCACCCGATCTGGTCAGATCTGGGAAGCTAAGGAGGATTTTGAGGCTGAATCATGTTTGGATGTGTGCCTGCCATGCGTAACAGTGTTCTAGGTGGAGGGGCTATGTTGTGAGCAGCACAGGGCAGTGCAGCAACATACATTGTTGTACCGTTCCTTAATGCTCCCTACGTCTATGTTCCCTGTGATAGTCGGTGTGGTGAAGTATGGTCTAATAATCCCACCACTCACATGGCATGGGGAGGCCCTCATCCAGGAGTAGATTGACACAGGTTCGTGCATGTATTCCCATCAGGCTTTAGTCCAGTACAGTCGCTCCTAACATGATTATGCTATAATATATAATTGGCACTTGGAGGAGCTTAAAAACGAGTTTAACATTTAAGAAATTAGTTGAGAAAATACATTAAGGTGCAACTTTGCTTTTTAAGTACAATATCTGATTTTCAAAATTCTTTGGACGTTTCCACCTACAAGCAAAGCATCTGGTAAATGTGTTCCATTCACCCTAGCTGACTTTTAACAAATGTGTATTGTGGGTTTGGGATGTATATAGAATGCATAGTCCCAGAGGTCAGGACTGCATTAAAGAGAGGTCTTGAATTGTAGATCCTACGATTATTTGTGGCCATCAGTCGTGTGAAAAAGCAATTGTCGCCTTTAAAATTGTAAGCACGGTTGAACAAAGCTCAAGTTCTGCTGGGCAGCATCCACGACACATCTGTGTGAGCACAGAGATAAGTGACCCTGGCAACGCCATGGATTGATCGTTGAGCCAAAGGAGAAATTATATATTTCTATATATATTTCTATATACACAGTGCTTATATAAATATACATGCACACGTTTACTAATTAATGTCAGTAATGCGATGGTCACACTACATGAGCAAAGAACAGAATCAGAATTAGTTTTTATACTGGAGGAATCTGATGATCTATGAAGCTCTTTTTCACAGATGTCCAGTAACAACTGATGGTTGAATGATGAGGGTAAAGATAAAACTATCTATGCGGCGTCGTGAGAGGGGCGACAGTTGTCAGAGTTTGAGAATGATGATTATTTTCTTTGAAATATATCTTTTCGGTATATTAATTCTGTGTTACTCAATGAGCGATATGCGTCATTGTTAATGTCAATATTGTTGACGCAGTGTCGGTAAGAGTTACATAAAGATCGGTCTGTATTGCGCATTGATCTGAACTTGAGATTTCACATTTCAATCAGGTGTGCAGCAAATAGCTCTAAAACTAAGGAAATGAGATGAAGTCTTGAGCCAATACCATTTACCGGGAATTAATGTACAAGGAGACCATGTTAAAGGACACATTTAACCAAAATAATTAAATATTACAGCATGCAAATATTGATTCACGTAGAGAGTTGATTTAAAAATAATATACAAAAATATAAATTTGAAATGTTTACTTTTGATATTGCCACTTGCCCTATGGCGCATTTTCAATCAGTATATATACGACTTGCAAGGATTTGTTGGTTACTTGTTGTCTGCTTTTATGAACACGGTTCACATCTCAATTCAAGTCTCCTTTCTTTTCAATCCGGTGCTCTTATACCTCCACGATGTAAACGTTTGTCTTCAACAATAGTATGGTCAATATGTCTGCCTTCTCTCGTGGCTTTGCAGAAAAAAAAAACGTTGCCTCAAATGATTTGGCCTCCAATATATTGTTCTGTTGTCAAGCCTTTTTTTCCCCCGGCCAGGTAACACAGTAGTCGAGTATGTTGCTCACAATTGTGATGAGCGTGAGTTCAAATCCCTGTGGTGTGATCAACTCTGGGGTGCATACAACCAGAACTACTCTGTGGGCAAGTCAACAGTGCTTAACATGGACATACTTGTCACCACCATAGGAATGTGGAACAAAAACAAAACTGGTTCTGGACTGTGTACGGTAGATGACTGCCATCCTCCGCTTAACTGAGCGAGAAACCGTTTTCAATTTGACTTTTTTTTAAATAAGTTATATTAGTTGCATTTATAATGAATAATGAATACGTATGTGTGTGTGTGTGTGCGCGCGAGCACTCTGAGCAAATCCACTGCAATGTCAACATGAACTTTACAACAAACAGAACACGGCACATCGAGTCCCACCGAGCGTGGCACGGTAGCCCCACGCGAGACATGTTTATTACTGAGATTGTACCGAAAGTAATCTGCATTGCACACGCTGCTGACACATTTAGAGCATTGGGACCTCGTACGGACGGACAGCTTCGCGACACGTGCATGCAGTCGCTTTGGTGCGTTGGCCTACGGGTTACAGTGACAACACGCTACACAACATCTACATTCGCACGCCGTACTGGTGCAACCCGAGCGATTTAAGCGTCGAGTTTTAAACCTCTTTTACCATTTTTTTTACCACTTACAGATCTTCAACGGTGATCACGCTGCTTTACAAACATTTTGAAAAAAAATATCCTTTTTTATTTGTTTTACACCTTGAAATGCATTATGTGGAAACACAAGTTAAAACTCAACGACCTACCACGCAATTTGGCAGGTGTCACACAGTTGTTAACTGCGAGGACTATGGAAAATGTGAACCGATGCAATGCACGATATTTACATGGAGTATTTACACAGGCGAATGCCCATGAGATATTCTTTTGGAGCATCTACCGGTGTGTACTAGGAGGGTTTTGCTTTGCATTCTTGTTTTGTCACGTGGGTCATCATATAAGCATGCCCATACTTTAACTTAGCTATTTCAATGAGCCATTTCAATGCTAAATTATATGCTAATTCCTTTGTCAAGGCGCTTTGTTTCTTCTCACACAGCTTAAAGGTCGTGATCTGAGCGTGGCTTTTTTCACTCCAGCGCTGTCCTCCAGACAGTCTCGTCCCTTCACCTGATGAAGGCCGCTTGTGTTGTGGCCGAAACGTCGTGATTTTTGTTATTTTATTTTTTACCTACGTGACGTTACCCAATAGAACCAAAGAGCATGTCCATACTTAGATTATTTCGTACAACCAACGTAGCCAATGTGAATCTAATAAAACAGATTTGTATGAATGCATTTATATTACACATTCGATTCTCAACTTTTTTTCTTGATACTCCGAGCTTCAGCTCTCAAATTATCAGTGTTTCCCTAAACACTCGTTTATTTAATTGTTAATCATTACAATAATTGTTCCAGTAAAGCCTCACTATCAGCTCAAAACTATGGACAGTGTTTGCAAATGTTTTTTTTTAAACCTAACTTACATATCAACATACATACATATCAATTTCAGCCAGAAGAGTCCATAATTCTGTTCCAGGAATTATTTTGGCACTCCACTTTCTTCTCACGCTTTGTCCTCATTATGCTTATAAAACTTTCCATTAAATGCTAAGAATACAGGGGGCAATCGTGCAGTATTATTATGAATATACCAACTTTGTACTGGTTCCAGAAAATATCGAGTGAGGTTTTGTTTTGTATGTTATTGGTAATTTTATTTTTAATAATGACAATTATTTTTAAAGGAAACCATGACACTCAGTTCGATAACTATTTCAGGAGAACCTTGTGCTGGAATGTTTGGCAATTTCTTTTAGAAATACTTTTACATGGACGAGGACTTCAGAGTACTCACGAAAACCAATGGGCACACGGGATAACACTCAAAGGTTCACACAGATTGGGGGTCTTGAATCCTTTTGGTGTACTGATATCTCCTGGTCCGCCAGAAAGTCATCATATTTGATAACTTTGCTAATAATACATGAGCATGGCAGTGGTAGCTATGCACGCCTGTAATCCAGCACGGCAGAGGCAAGCATTGGTGAATCCACAAACCCCGGGGTGACACACCTTGACTTGCCAGGTCACAGTCCAGAACAAGTGTGGACTCTAACTGTCCAGTCCGTTTGAGATGGAGTGTATCCCCATCACACGTGCGGGTTTTCTCTGCTCTGCTCTGGTTTCCTCCCGCATGTAAGCACTCATTCATTGGCCGATAACGCCTGAATATATAGAATATATAGAGGACCGCAGAGTTTGGCCAATTGGCTGTGGGTCCTCGCGCCTCTGAGTCGTTCTCTCTCTTCTAGGGTGATCAAATACTGTGCGGCAGCACGTTACAAACATACATTATTATTATTATTTACCATCAAAGTACCAAACTGCAGGTGCGTGCCACCACGCACGTAACAAACACATGACTGACATTTCGAAATTGGCACTGTACGGCGGGGATCATGAGGATCAAGGCTGAGAACTCCTCGGGGTTCTGTACGGCTGGCAAACGTGAGAAGCGACTGGTCCACCGTCGACTGGTGCTGTCCACGACCCAAACAGCCAGCAACATCGTGCTCAGGGGCTTCTCTCAACAAGCCACGAACCTCAAACGTGGCACCGCGCGCCAAGAGACCCAAAGACCATCGCATTAGGACTGAAGGCAGGTGGGAATTGTGGGTGCGGTCCCTTGTGCACCGTGTCCATAGCCGCTCACTCATCATCAATCATCATCGCCGCCGCCGCCGCCGACACCACCACAACCACCATCAAAACCGCAGCTTGAATTTGGAGATGACGAGCCGACAGCCGCGCTTGCCTGGCGCGCACGCCGCCTCGGCGCGGCTCCGCGTGGCCGCCGTGGACGACTGCGCCCCGCTACGCCGGCCGAAGCGCAGGCCGAAGGGGTTGTAGTTGAACTCGGTGACGTCTTGTTCGGCGCTGCGGGGCAGCGCCTCGCCGTCGGTGAGGCCGGCGTCAAGGTCGTGTCCCCCGCGCAGGGCACGCAGGCGCAGCAGCCTCGGCGTCTCCGCCGCGTGCCGGCACACGGCGCCGAAGAGGCGCAAGGGAGAGGCGCGCAAATCCCCGGTGACGATCTCCTCCGAGGATCTCGCACGGCGCGCGTGATTGGAATCTGGCGGCACGAGGCGAGGAGACGCCGCACGCGCAGGCGCACACCCATTGGTCTGTGCAAGCTCAGCGAATAAAAGGCTTTTATTTTTTGTACGTGGCCAGGCACAGAATTGAGGTCTGTTTTTGTATGCGTTATTGCTCATCGTATGTTGTATGTATGTTGGACTTCGTTCGCACCGTACGTAGCCGACCGCGCTAATCGGAGGTGCGGGGGAAGGACAACAAACTAAGCACAAAAAGCAGCTCTTAAGAAATTAGTTTTTAACAGAGGCATCTTATAAGTGCATCATTCCAGTGGCTTCCTCATATCGGAAGGAAGAGCATTCCAGGCGGTCGCAAGAGCTCATCTGAATGCGCGCAATACGGTGACCATCAATTAGATGGCCTGCTCTTGCCAATAACATTTAACAACTGAGCAGCGCTTTTTTAACAAGCCTGACTGCTGATGAAACCCAGAAAGTAAAAACTGGTCCAGAGTTTCCTTGTGTAAATAAATGCTGGTGGATAACTGGGAATGGGGAATAGGCTATGGGGAATATGGGGAATAGGCTAATGACTGTCCTCAACGCTAAATATGAATCAGTAATCAGGCATGAGGTGGTGCATCCTATGTTGATGGACCTGAGCTACTTATGGGAATTCCACATTCAGATGATGGCGAAACCAAAATGTGGTACTGAAGCAAAGCATTCAACCTGACATTCAGCCTTTGCATGTGATGGGGGAACAGGAGCAGTGAAGAAAGAGACATGCAGCCACCAAGCACAAAGATAGATCCGGAGACATGGAGATTAATGGAAACTGAGATGGGTATCACCAAGGGTGCGCTTTGGGGGAAGTTGGTTGCCTGTGCATATCACACAAAAACTGCACACGTGTGAAGTCAACACTGCTCGTAAGTCAGACGAGCTGGCTGCAGATACCTCATTGAACAACACGATTTGGTGAGCCGCTATTTCTTTAAACACTGGCACGTGATCCCTGCAGTATGTGGGACATTCGTACACAGCCACTAAACGACCCAGAACGAGAATGAAAAATAGATGCTCGCTGATGACTACACCTGCTTGTTGTGTTATCGTGCGTTTGTGAAGCCATCCACGCGTTATTAATATCGTTAGCTGCTCTACTCGCAGCACGTGCGTATGATGGTAAACGAGCTGACACAGGCGTAATCACAGGCGTAATCACGTGCGTAATCACAGGCGTAATCACAGGGGGTCGCGACGTGGCGCAGTGGCCAAGAACCGGGCCGTCTGAGTTCGATTCCCGACCACGGCTAACACAGGCGAGTGACAGTTGAACCTCTCCTGAGTCACCTCTCATTAAACCTTCGCCAACCAGAGTGATGACGTATGGTCAAACGACTCCCAAGACTGACACGCAGTTGGGAAGGCCTTCGTCCAGTGGTGGGTTGACAAAGGTCAGTGAATGGATTATTTAAATTACCAACATGGCAGTTATATTTATTGTCAATCTAATTAATGCTGCATCAATTATCTTATAGAATAAATAACTGAAAATGATCCTTGGCTTTGTTGTGGAGAATGTCAATAAAACAAGCAGACCAATGCCTCCTTCACATATATGTATCTCTGCTCTGGATGTCGTGAATCAATGCTGCTAAAGTTGTGTACTATCAGAAGGCCGTGCCGCTGATGGACTGCGTGAGGGAAATACTTTTATATTTTGTGTGTAGAGATGGATATATATGTGATGGAGACAAACTGAGTGTTTTGTAAATAAATGGCAGGGCTTACATTGACAACACATTTCAGTCTAAATAGACTGCCTTTAATTTTCCTTGCCATCTCGTGTTGTCTCTGATTGCAATAATCCCAACGCTTATTATTTATTTTCTTATTTTATTTCCCCGAATTATAAGTTCGCTGATATTGGCGTCATGCAACGGGGCCCTCGCAGTGAGTCGGGAACCACTTTGTGCCAGAGAGCAACCGCTGGAGACGACTCCACTTAACAATTTAAGAAGTCGCTTCAATAAACCTCTTTATTTATACGCTCTGCAAAGAGTGCCGCATGGCAATCAAATCGAACATTTCAATAATGAAAAATAATTTCAACTTGTAACCGGCACAGTAAATTATTCGCTCACTCTCGTAGAGCGAGAACGACTCAGAGGCGCGAGGAGGGAACCACAGACGAGCGGGAAGGCAAAGCAGCCGCACGGTGAGCCGGTGCTACCAACTATTCCCCAAGCTCTGCAGTCCTCGATATGTTAAGGTGGACTTCTCCACAAATCTGGCTATCGCCTGATGAAGCTAGTTGTAATTACTGGCGAAACGTCGAACTCAGATTGTAAATGTTGTGGCCTGGCTCTCCAACACACACCGGTGTGCTGTATTAGTGACGAATTGGCCACGTTCTGTTAACGTGACAACCCTTACTAGTTGGCTGTGTCGGGTGGTGGCGAGTTTTAACGACACATTTATATGTTTACGCGCTTTAACCCCAAAAAACTTATATTATGCATATTAAGGTGTTATTAGCCAATTATAGTTTACATGTCGGAGGAAATTGGAGCACCAGGAGAAACCCCACGCGTGCCAAGGGGAAACACTTTCCCATACAGACCGCCTTCTCATGGCAAGCCAGGGTATGGCCCACGGGAAGAGAGCTTCACAACATTTGTGGGATCCGCCATACCCCCTGGATTACGGTCATGCACTCGGTTCGGAATAATCGTATTCGGAACAATCTGATTCGGAAAAAATCCGCATTTAGTGAAAACTCAAACGTGACAATGGGGGAGGGGGGTGGTATTTGTGCATTATCGCTGACTGGCCCGAGACCATAGGCTCAGTTCACAAGAGAAGCCGGTTTAATTCACAGGTGGCTTGGACCCGGTCTCTAACCTGTACGAAGTCGTCTGAGCCACGCAGCCGCCTCCACACTGATCCTCGCCCTCACGTCAAGGGGAGTGCAATGTGCGCGACACAACAATACAGCGACGCGCTGTTCTTGAGCCTTCTCTGTCGCTTAATGCCACGGAGACAGTTCCATTGACTTGCAGTGGAAGTGAACGGCCTTTACCGATCTCTATTGCACTCAAAGAGGTTCAATTCCCTCTCTCCCTGCAGATTCCCCCGCTCAAGGGCAGATCCACGGCTCACCAAGCTTCCTCCATCTGCTGCGATCCATAACACCGCACGCCACACGATAATTAATGAGCCATTACCCAGGGAAAGCACTGTTGAGGTGGGGGATATCTCTCGTCTCATCCAAGTTTTGTTTGGGTGACACCATCACCGGATTCAGTGTTAACGTCACACCCAGTAGGTGTGTACAAGAAATGTTTATATTTAACAGGTCTCTGTCAATCCACTGCTGGATGAAGGCCTCCCTTACGCCGTGTCGGTCACCGGGGTTGTTTGACCATACTTCACCGTGCTGGCTGGTGCGGGCTCGGTGAAATGCTGGAGGCCCTGGACTGGTTGAAGTATTACCACATTTTTTTAAATTAATAAAAAATATTTCATACGGAAATAAATCCCTCTAGATGGAACATCCCGTTCGGCAAGAGTTTTCCAGGGTGTCAAACGATGTTAACCGTGGCTGGAAATCGACCTCAGGTCGCCGCCGGGTTCATGGCGAAATGCGCTCACAACTGCGCCGCAGCTCCCCACCCTCCCCGCCTGCGAAGCCCTGGTCAGGACTAAGACGTTGTCAAACCTCTCGGCACGTCGCCTGTGAGATCGCTGGAAGGTTTCACCTGGGCTCGCGCCGTAACGATCCGTCCGGGCGGCTACGGCTCCTCCTCCGAACACGCAGACGGCGAGCAGCGCGGCGAGGGAGCACGCGGGAGTCATGACCACCCTGGAATGGGACACGGACGCACGGAATAACCTCGGATGAGACGATCGCCCAACTAAATCGATCAAACGCACGGGGTTACAGTCTGAGGAAACACAAGGTGAGGGCCAGGGGCAATACAAAACAACGCAGGTCAAGAATGCGCACCGCGCTATGAACCCAGACACGCTGAGTTCGATTCCCTGCCATGGCCAAAATTTGTCGAGAGTGATATCTGAATCGGTCCCGCGCTCCGCATTCACTCGCTCGCACTGACCGGCGTGGTGAAGTATGGTCAAACAACCCCCAAGCGTAGGGAGGGGGAGGCCTTCATCCAGCAGTGGATTGCAAATACAGTAGCTGTACATTTGAATTACATTGTTCTGCGTATAATTATTGTTTTCGGGAATGTTAGTAAATGCACGAAAAACTGAGTTTGTGAGTAAAGTTATCGAGAACACTGCACCATCGTAAGCTATCGTCTTCACCGTTATCCGTTATCGACGCGGTTGAATGTCTCAGTCGGGCGGAATTTTAAGTGTTTTCTGTGATTGCCCTCACTATGTTCACTATGGCGTGGCGCTTTAATGAGGGCTCATCGTATAGCTGTGCATACTTGACATTCTTGCATTGACTTGCATTTTATATAAAAACATAAACACGTCTTTACAAGTGAACGTGTATTTGTTTCTAAACGGAAGGGATCACCCAAGCGTGTAAAATAAAGCAAAACAGTGACACTGCGTTGGTCGTGGTGCACAAGCGCAAATAACAATCAAACTCAAAACATTCGTCAAAAAAACTGCCCTAAAGATGAAACAATGTATAATAGGCCCGTCTTAATAGCACAGATGGATCATGCAGATACTCTTTGCTATGGAGAAGGGCCATTGCCTGAAGCATCTTCTGTCATGTATATGTTGTTGTCTTTTTTAGGGCGGTGTCAGTGACGAATGTTGTGGAGTTGTAAAAACGAAACGCTTTCGTTCGTCTTGGAATGTATTCCCTGTAACAAGGCGACAGACACAGATGCGGTGCCACCGTGATTGTTCATCAGGAGCGCAAAAATGCCGGTTTCTCACAAGGCCTAATTTCGCAGCGTTACAACTCACTATTTTATTCAGCATTCGACATTTGGTTTCACAATTGCAGAATTATACTAATTCAAAATGAAACTACAACCTTTTGTGGTTTGACACAAGAATGAAACAAACAGCAAAACATGAAATGCAACCTTAACAGACAATCACAATTACGTGATGGGCTGGGATAAATACCATGCAAAGAATAATACAGTAATTAAACCAAATAACATATACTCAAAACTCATTGTCTGTGTCAATGCCCGTTTTTAGGGAACAGTGCTGTTTTCCGACGGGTTTACTTTTTATCCAAAGCAAAGCGTGTGTGGATATTGGAATTGTGTAGGTGAAAAACATGGCTTTGCACTCTCCCTTAAGGCTAAAGTAAGCTGGGTCGACGTCTACCCAACGCGCGTGTGTGTGTGAATTCATTTCTAGCAGACAACAAGGCTATCCCAAAACTAAACTCATCATCAACACGAGCAGCAGTGGCAGCAATATCATCGTCGTTAACAGCAGTAACAGAAGAAGCACCATCATCGTTATCATCAGCAGAGCAATAACATCATCATCATTATTAATATTATCAGCCGCAGCATCATCAGCATCAGAATCAGAATCGGCATCATCGTTCTCACCGGCAGCAGCAACAACGGACGCATCATCATTGTTTGCAACTCACGAAAGGACTCCAAGCAAGAGTTGTCCAGTGCCATTGCTTTAGAAGTTTTCACTACTTACCAACTTCCTTTTTTTATTGTTAATCGTCGACGCCCCTGGGCGTGTGTCCGTGTGGCACCTTCAGCGAGCACCCTGCCTCACTCGCGCACCATCGCCGCCACCGGACGGGCCCTCGTGTGCCCTTCACGCGTCAGAGTGGACTCGATGAGAGACGACGTTGGGTCCCCATCAGAGGCGGTTATAGTCACGGGACGACTGCCTGGGCGTGCGTCGCCGCTTGTTATATACGCACTCCATATCGATATAGCGCATAACGTCGGGGTCTCGTGAGTCACACACTTGTGGCGATGATTCCATTTGGAGGCCAACAAAGACATCCACGGGGCCACATTTCGTGGCAGGTGGTGTAGTGTCACGTTAACATAAAAGCTATTTTATTCTGGAAATGGTAAGGAAGGATTTCCATTAGAAAATCAATCCGGGCCCGCGCGTCTTATTGAAACGTGTAAAATCCTGCACATGTTCTCGGTGTCGCCTGCTATTGATTAAATTCCACCATCGACATCTGTTTTACGCATCTCCTACTGACGTCTCTTGGCCTTTTTCTTTCTTATATCTTCAATTTAGGACGTGGCTCTTCAATTATGGACGTATAAGCATCCCTCCGGGTGTGTTCCCGTAAACTTACAAAGAGTTGTCTTTGATTCAATAGGCTCATCTCAGAAGGGACCATAAAGGATTTCATTGTAGGGGATTTTATCTATTAGCTGCCCTCATACTTGGCACTTAGTAACAATTAATCACTGTTAGTGCTTTGTAGCTCTTTGGTCTGAATAACTGCCACATAACAACCACCATACATTGTTCAGTACTCGAGATTTCAACACCAAACTGAAATACAGTTTGTTAACTGTTGGTAACGTTTATGCTCAGTCTTTTTGTCTATTGCAATATCAGGGTGTAAATCTTCACATATATTGGCAATTCTGTCTGAATGAGTGACTCGTGTGAATTGTGAAGTTTCAGAGCAGCTGAAAAGTAAAAATATGGCACAGTATATTCAAGTCTATGCTCATAGTCCCAAAAATATGAACATCTAAAAGATGACATTTTTGAAAAGTAGCAGAGTAGCATTGGGTTGAATTAGGTGGATTGGTTTCACTCATAGCAAGTTTAGCCCAAATTTTTCCATTGTGTTTAAGGGTCTCGTGCTAAACGCATACCAATATACGAACATCATCATCATCATCAATGAACTGCCCATAGAGTGTGACCTTGAGCCGAAATAAATTGAGTGAAGCCCAATATTGCTTACCAACAATGCTTCATTGATCATCGTGTAAAGAGTGGGTGTTTAGAAATATTTTCTTGCACATTGTTTTCACATGTATGTATAAAACACGCCTTCTTTATCATAACAACGTCAGAAAATCATAATATTGGTGACAATTATATTAATGTATGAACTGAATAATAGATGGTGGAGATGACGAGGGTGGTTTGGAAGTCTAATACGGTCATTCGAATTCTAGGCTGCACACCCATTCGGCTCTTAATGGAATTGAGTTCTAGATCTTGGCACAGGTGGTAATTCAACCCAATGCTGCTCTGTCACTCTTCGGCATTTGCATCTGACTCCACGCTACCCCCTGTCTCTTTAGAGAATTTGAGGATGCTCTAGATTTGAAGCTTTCGTGACTGCAAGGATTCATACTCTTTGATTTTTTCGGTAAAGTCACGTTTGCATTTGGTGGCCTTGAGCAAATGGAGGAAACTCCACGTTTCTAAGGCAGGGGGCCACCATTTGAATGGAACAAGTTGCTCTTGACCGCAATGCGTGGGGAAGCCATCAGAACGGGTGGTATTTATTTTGGAAACACGAGGGAAAGCAGTGGCTGAGTTGACCCAGACAAGGAATTGAACTCAAATGATCATGAATACACGGCCTGGCCGTCCTTGAGTTGTGCAGGATGATGCCTTTATTGGAATCTCAGCAAATTGTTGAATCACACGAAATTCAAATAGTTTTACTTATTAAACTTGGATTTTCTAAAATTGTATATCCCCCATAGACTTTGACCACATCGCCTAGAATGTGCCGATCTTGCTGGATACAAAGAGCTAAGCCGAGTTGAGCCTGGAGAGTGCTTGGATGGGTGACCCCCATGCATAAACAGCATGCCTATGTTGTGGGCAGCAGAGGGCAGTGCGGCAACAATCAATTGGTTTGCTGCACTGTGGCCCACGCCTTTATTCAATTCGAACTGACCAGCGAGGCGAAGTATGGGTAAATATATCTGATGACCTGCAACAGTGTGGGGAGGCGGGGCCATGCGTGTTTGTCATTGTAGTGTCGCGGTCGTGTGGCGATCAGATCGCAGCGCCTAGGAACCCGGCGACTTGAGTTTGATTCCCGCTCACGGCCAACACCAGTGACGATTATCTGAACTGGTACTGGGCCTCCCCTAGGTCGACTTTGTCTCAAATGAGTACCTGGTGCAGTGCGGTGTGTGAAACATCGCCACTGGGGAGACAAATGTGACCGAGCGTGGTGCTGGCCACCCATCCCATCGTGTGCCGTGCTAAGCGTTCATAGGCACTCGCTAACAGCACTTGCCCCAAAAGTTTGTAAAGGCTATCCGGGGGATTTTTATTTGTCTTTGTGAATACATTTTATATATTCCCCTGCTCACATTTATCTGACCGCTGTCTTCGAAATCCTCCCCAAGTTGATTCACCCCCTTCCACCTCTCTTCTAGCCACATATTCTCCCAATACTAGAGGCCGTCGACAAATAAATTACGTCTTTAAAAATATATATAAAGGTTAGAATTGATCAGCTGGCAAAAAAGATACGTGTAATTGCATGTTTACGCCTAGGCGTGCAGATGCATGCATATACACCGGTGATGTGCGGCAGTGTCACGGAATCACTCGACTCCACGGGGGATATGAGCAGGGAGTGGAGCTGTTCATGGAGAGGGGAGTGTGTGGAGTGTCTGTGGCCCGGCGTGTCGCAGCAGACGTTAATTAACCCCCCCCCCCCGCCCCCTTGCGTGGAGTTTGGGTGCTGGTAACGCGAAGTGGTTGTGCATGGGTAGCGTTCTCCAGCGGTAGGGCAGCAGCGGTTAACGCGCTGCGCTACGAACGCAGCGACCCCCGGGTTCCATTCCCGTTCACCGCCATCACCAGTGACGGTTATCTGAACCGGTCCGGGGCCTCCCCTAGGTCGACTCAGCCTCAAATGAGTACCTGGTGCGTTATGTAAAACATCGCCACTGGGGGGGACAAAAGCGGCCGGGCGTGGTGTTGTCCACCCACCGCCTCGTGTGCCGTGCCGGCCTTCACAGTTGCTGGCTAACAGCACTTGCCCCAAGCGTCTGTTAAGGCTATATGGGCAGTCTTTGTATTTTTTGTGTTCATGAGCATCATCATCATCAGCAGCAGCATTTCCAAGAGAGAATCGAATCAATCAAGTTGTAATACGTGCGTATTCTGTTTAAGTTTGGCTCTTTGATTCTCAGGCATTTCCGATGTAGAGTTGTAGACTGATATCATAATGCACGGATTTTTTTTAAATTCCACTGCTGGATGAAGGCCTCGTCGCGTCGTCTCGGTTAGGGGCCGTCCACCGTCCATAAATGACGTCACGCGATTTTGGACGATTTTTGACCCCCCCCCTCCGTCACACGGCGTCACAAAAAGTCACACCCCCCTCAAATATGACGTCACAAAGCTCTGCCCCCCCCCAAAAAAATATATAAAACATGCTTCAAATCGCTTTAAACTATTGTCATTGTAGTGCGTATTTAATGTGGCGCTGCACTCTGATGTTGTAGGAGAAAACATTTATTACAAAGTCTATTTAATTAAGTAGAACGTGTTGTCTATATTTATTTAAAGTTGCGCATTTTGATGTGACGTCACATTTCTCACCCCCCTCGTCACACATCGTCACAAATGTCTGACCCCCCCCTAGGTGCGTGACGTCATTTATGGACGGCCCCTTATATGGGGACTTTTGACCATACTTCACCACGCTGATCAGTGCGAGTCGGTGAATCTGAGAAGGATGCAGGACCGGTTCATATACCCCGTGCAATTGTTATTAGCTGTGGTCGGGAATCGAACTCGGGTTGCTGATATTTTAGCGCAGTTCTCAACATTCATATAGGCAACTGTGGCTTTAACAATAACATGCGAAAATTGAGATTTGTTTTCATTTGCTTCATTGTTAGCCAAACTAAATAGACAAACCTAGAAAACCACGCATCAGGTTTGTATTACAAGAGAATATAGTACTGTCACTAAGCACATACATTGCATGTATGTGAAATTGTTGGTTGCATTTGATGTATGTTACGTAGTTGCTGTTTTGGCGATCTTGCACAGATGTTTCTGTTTATGTTTAAGATACGTATATATACAATCCTGCATTGCAAGTGTGTATTCGTTAGTCTTGCCCACATTTAATTTGAAACACACACACACATTACGGTGTTAGGGTTGATTATCTGCGCGCAAGCTTTCGTGGCGGTTTTGTTGAGGGTTTTTTTGTTGTTGTAGTTTCCGTGACCAGGCGGGAAATATCCTCGGACGTAACAATGCGTCGGGCATACAAGTAATTAAATAGCCTCGATCGGGGGTGGGCATGAGGTGGGGGGCTGTTACGGCTATGGCTGAGATGGTCAATGTAGTGTGGTCTATAAATTACATATACCAAAAGTAATCAGTTAAACTGCGAATCGATGATATTAACACTTGGACACGGCGTTAGCTTTACATATATACTGAAAAATAGCAGCTTGTTTTGCAAACAGTGTCAATAAGACGCGCACATTAGACTTTAATAGCGCTTATATTGCAATGACCTGTTTATCTAATGTTATTTTAAGGGGACGACACTTGATCTATTTACAATAAACTATCTACATTTAAATTGTATTATTGTTTATTTTTTATTGGCTAAACCTAATTTTAAATCACGTGTAGGCTCCAACTAAAGTCGATGCACTTGTTTACGCGAGACGTAGGCCTGCATTCGTATGTGCTACGAAGAAGGGCCATTGCCTTAAACGTCGCCTCTTTTGCATTTTTCTTTTTAAGGCTACACAGTGTTATTGATTAAATGTGTTTCGTTTTGTTTTATATGTTCGTGCACGCAGCAACATCACTGCTTCCTTGTCTTTTGTTTGTTTCAAGCAGTGTGACTGACATCAAATTGCCAAATGCAGCAAAATATTTCAAATTGCAGTGTTTATTCATGGTATAATTCGAAGCAGGAAAAAAAAACATTGTATAAGACACGACAGCATACTTTAACGAGAATCAGAAAAACAAATAACATACATTGACGCAATAAAACTGATTACTGGACACTATTGCACACAAAAGTCTGATTGAAACCGTACCGAGACTTATAAATGTATACCCCAAATCACTGTTGGTATACCATTGAATATGGAGGAACGTAAACATGGAAAATTCGTAGTGTTGGAAATCAAGAGTCACGTTATGTCGACAGCAGAGGGCCGTGTTGCTATGCATCCATCTGTCTTGCTACGGTCTTCTCTCCTGTATCCAATTAACACGTGCTATGTGGATGACACAAGCAAACACGACTCCCCATGTTTGTTTGTGGCAACTATATGATGAATAGCACTCGCTTAGAAGTGGTACTTATGCTCAAACAACTTATTGAACAACTGTGAGCTAATCCACACAGTATAAAATTACAAAAGCAACACACATGGCGT